TTGTCCCTTTAAAGTAGGGTCAGGAGTAATAAAATGAGATAAAACGAAAAAATGAGCGGGGGAAAGAAAAAAATAAAACATGAAGGGTGACAGGGCCCGGCACAGAGTAAACAAAAAAAATTTAGGAAATCCCTGATATTTTTTATTAAATTTCCACTTGTGGGAAATCTCTGCTACCACAGATCACCCTTTATGTTTATTTATTCACTTGGGGGGTATTTATCTTATTTTTTATGTTAGGGATCGGGTTTTTTTTATAATTTTGAAAAAAAATTTTCATGGATGGATTATTGAAACATGGTAAAATTTTCCGTAAAATACGAAATTTTAAAGAGCTCCGTGACTTTGTTAATTTTGGGGTCACTTGTGGGGAAATCTCTGCTACCAAGATCCCCTTTATGTTTATTTATTTTTACTGTGGGGGGATTTATCTTATTTATTTTTAAGTATAGGGGGTTTTTATATAATTTTTTAAAAAAAAATTTTTGGCTGGATTAATGGGAAAAGGGGATATTTCCGAATATTCCCACATTTTTTGAGACTCAGTATTGTTTTTTTATCACCACTTTTGCAAGTCGTTGCTACAAAGCTCCATTTTTGTTTATTTATTCTATGTGGGGGGGTATTTATTTATTTATATTTTTATGCACGTGTTTATTATATAATTTTGAAAAAAATATCATGGATGGATTAATGAAAATGTGTATATTAACGTAATATACGACATTTAAATGACTTGAGTGTGTAAGTTTATTTAGGTACAGGTATACATAAGTATAATTATCAGAGTTATATAAAAATATGAAATAACTTTTAAAAACATTTGAAATTTTGGAGTTTCCAGACAAAATGGAGAGACTTAGTGCTTACTGAGCTCATGGAGAATGTAAACAAACAGGGTGGGGCACGGTGACCGTATTAGAAAGTCAGGTGGGGGAGCCGTATAGTGAGTTTTTGGTCATAATTTGAAATGTCCGTATTAGCGGAACGCCGTAAAGCGGAACGCCGTAAAGCGGGGCCCTCCTGTATATAGTCACTAGATACTTTCATATAACTGCTATTATCTTCATTCAGCAAGCTTGTCTTGTGTGCAAGTGTGTGGCTTATAATTGTTTTGAGTCAGGAGTCGGCAGCTGTCAAAATGACATATTATCTCATTACTCACTCCCCCTACCGCCTGTCAAAACAATGGGTCGGATGCTGCTTCCCTCTATTCTATCTAATTATCTTTCTACCTCATTCTATCTCTTTCAATCTGTCTCTCTCTTTCTATCTGTTTGTCTATCTCTGTCTCACAGGTACACATAAATACAAGTATACATATTGTAAATTACCTAGGATAACCCAAAAAATCCAGACAAAGTGCCAAACTCAGCTTGAAGATGTGAGTAAACGTGATGATGACACAGTCTTTGGCTCTCTCTCTGAGACAGAGAGCTAGACGGATAGACAGGGAGCTTGGCAGACAGACAAATAGACAGACAGAAATGTTTGTGTACCAGCAAAAACAAAGGGAGGGCGATGGTCATCTAATCTTTTCTTATTAGCTGCACCCTCCCCCACCCTTGTTTATGCTCATCAAACGTCAGCTCTTATCAGATGTTATCTCCCCTTATCTTGTCACTGTCATGGGGTGGACTTTTTTTTTTTCTGCTTCAAGGGAACAATACTACTACACTACTGCCTGCTGCTGCTGCTGCTGCTGCTGCTGCTGCTGCGCTGCTGCTGCTGCTGGCTGCGCTGCTGCTGCTGCTGCTGCTGCTGCTGCTGCTGCTGCTGCTTGCTGCTGCTGCTGCTGCTGCTGCTGCTGCTGCTGCTGCTGCTGCTGCTGCTGCTGCTGCTGCTGCTGCGCTGCTGCTGCTGCTGCTGCTGCTGGGCTGCTGCTGCTGCTGCTGCTGCTGCTGCTGCTGCGCTGCTGCTGCTGCTGCTGCTGCTGCTGCTGCTGCTGTGCTGCTGCTGCTGCTGCTGTGCTGCTGCTGCTGCTGCTGCTGCTGCTGCTGCTGCTGCTGCTGCTGCTGCTGCTGCTGCTGCTGCTGCTGCTGCTGCTGCTGCTGCTGCTGCTGCTGCTGCTGTGCAGCTGCTGCTGCTGCTGCTGCTGCGCTGCTGCTGCTGCTGCTGCTGCTGCTGCTGCTGCTCTGCTGCTGCTGCTGGCTGCTGCTGCGCTGCTGCTGCTGCTGCTGCTGCTGCTGCTGCTGCTGCTGCTGCTGCATGCTGCTGCTGCTGCTGCTGCTTCTTCTTCTTCTTCTTCTTCTTCTTCTTCTCCCTCCTCCTCCTCCTCCTCCTCCTCTCTTCTTCTCTTCCTCCTCCTCCTCTTTCTCCTCCTCTTCCTCCTCCTCCTCTTCTCCTCTTCCTCCTCTTCCTCCTCTTTTCCTCCTCCTCTTCCTCCTCCTCCTCTTTTTCCTCCCCCTCTTCCTCCTCCTCCTCTTCTTCCTCCTCCTCCGCCATTGCTTTTTGTCTCAAACTCCTCAAAATCATGAAATTGTACTTCACTGACACTTCCATCTATGTTAGAGCATCACTTGGGAAGAGAAGAGTCCCAGGTTTGCTGGGGAGTCACATCTTTCTTACCGCTAAGCATGCTGAAAAAGAACAACTGAAATGACATTCCCACAATGCACCACTGGCTCCCTGATTTTTTTTATATGGTGCACACTGGCCATGGAGACCCATTCTCTCACATGTGGGCCTACCAGCTTTCTCCTGCTTGATTTGAAGCCGCTAGAATTTATGCGTATAAATCTATCAGAAACAGTGGCGCGTAAGACGTATATATATGGCGTAAATAGTCAGAGGGTTAAATGACGATCTACTGTACCTAGTTCTATTACTAACTTAACCTTTTCAGGGTCTGTCCTGTAGATCTACGGCTTTACGTTCAGGGTCCAAACCGTAGATCTATGCCAAAATTCTAGCAGCATCAAATTTAGCGCAGAAACACTGGTAGGCCTACATCTGAGAGAATGGGTCTGGGTGGTTAGTGTGCACACTATAGAAAAAATCTGGATGCCCGCATGGCATTGTGGGAACGCTGCCAAAGTAGCTTTGTTCATCGAGCCTGGCGGCAAGGAAGCTCTCACTCCTCACTCACTCTCCGGGCGAATTCTGACTCTCCTCTTCACAACTTACACTTCTAAGACTGATGGAAGTGGAGCTGAAGAGGAATTCTATGGTACCATTGTACCATATGGTACCATTGTACCATATGGTATAATGGTACCATATGGTACATTGGTGCCATGTTATACAATGGTATCATATGGTACCATGTGCCATATGGTACAGTTTATTCTAGGTTCTCCAAACATATGCTGCTAAGTATGATATTCTATGTAACTTTATTTGTGTATACCTAAATAAACTTATGCCGCATGCACTTGAGTAAGTTTATTCAGGTGTACAGAAATACAATTACATGGATTATTATACATAACAGCATATGTATAAAATCCTAGGATAACCCAAAAAAGTCAGGGTGACTTATTTCCATAGGGATCCTAGTATCTGTACCATATGGTGTCCTGTACTATATGGTGTCCTGTACTGCATGGTACCCTGTGCCATATGGTACCCTGTACCATATGGTACCCTGTACCATATGGTACCCTGCACCATATGTTTCCCTGTACTGCATGGTACCCTATACCATATAGTACAATGTACCATATGGTACCCTGTAACATATACCGTGTACCATATGGTCAATAGGTGGTGTTGGTGGCAGGAAACACCAGCCAAGACTGAATGAGTGACGACGCAAGCTAGCTACTGACTCAGCAGTTTCCAAGACAAAGCGCTTTGTCATCCACCTCAAGGAACATGTCGAGTTCCTGTACATTTGTAAATATATAATAGAACATCACTAATATACAACATTTTTGCATATTTTTGTTGTAAACAATTATTGTAAATAAAATAATGATGAAAATATAAGTGTGTTTGTGTTGAATACAATAGTACCATATGGTACAATGAACCATATGGTATTGTACTGTATGGTACAATGTACCATATGGTACCATTGCACCATATGGTACCATTGCACCATATGGTACCATAAAGTACAATTGCACCATATGGTACTATTGTATCATATGGTACCATTGTACCAAATGGTGCCATTGTACCATATTCTTCCATATGGTACCATTGTATCATATGGTACCATTGTATCATGTGCCATTGTACCATATTGTACCATATGGTTCCATTGTACCATATAGTACAATTGTACTATATGGTACCATTGCACCCTATGGCACCATTGTACCATATGGAACTATATGGTACCGTTGTATTCAACACGATAACCGTGCTAATATTTTCATCATTTTGTTTACAAACTTGTAAACAAGTTTTGTAAGCAATATAATGATAAATTAGTGCAGTTATTGTGTTGAATACAATGAGTGTACGCTTATACAATATACATTATATTGGTCTCACAGGCCACAGATTTTACTAGAAAAAGAAAAAAATTAGAAAAGAAAAGAAAAAAGCATAAAAAACTTAAAATAAAAAAATGCGATTTTGCGGAAGTCACTGATGTTGCCGCCACCTAGTCATTTTGGGTCAACTTCCCTCCGCTGTATCTCGGTAAGTACTGATGAGAAAAACTTTTTTTTTTGTTTTATTACCTTCACACAAAAATATTATCTTTAATTCTGTAAGAAAAAATTATTTTTTTTTTTTTTTCAAAATTTCTTGGACACTAGGGCACCCCTTCAGATTTTGGCTTTGGACCCTGAAAGGGTTAATATATGATAATGTAAACATGTTATGAAGCATTAATAATTGAAAAAGTGTGATTCGCTTTACGGCAGTAGCCTGGAGCCCAACCCACCATATAAGTGGGGCCCTCCTGTATACATTATATCTATCTTTATAGTTTTTTTTATTTTTTTATTTGATATATTGTACCCTTTAGCTGTACATTGCTTAATTATTTCCTGTCATGTACAGTACTTTTTGAACATTTGTTTCAGAAAAAGCTGAGAACATAGACAAAAAGATGCCTGGGAAGGAATTGATGGTGCTCATGTAACTGGTGATGCACTGGTTCATCAGGGTATTGAATATATGTTTGGAGTAAGTATGTAGAGGATGTATTACAGTCAGTGGCGTGCAGAGGTCTGGTGATGCCTGGGGCCAACTCCTTGATTGTATGCCCCAAAGACTCAAGTATAAGGTCTAGTACTGAGAAGTATTGAGGAAGAGAGAGATTTTGAATATGTAAACACAGGTGAAACATGAAATAAACACTTTATTTGATTTAAATATAAATCATCAAAATTTATTAAGTTCTTTTTTCCAAATGATACTTCCCATCAGAAAACACTTGAACTACTTAAGTTTTTGCATCAACTGTGAGAAATTCTTTTTAATTGCTTATTAAAGCCAGGTTGGTCAGTCACTCTTGTGACATTCAAGACCTCAGATATGTTTTTATTAATTTCAGTTTTGAAAATGACCTTTGACAACTTGTGACTGAAAATGTGATTGTAAGCAGTAATCTGTATGAAATACACAGCTTCGGAAGGACATCCCTCTCATACTGCAGTAAAGACTCCAGAGCATCTTTAGGATCAGGGAGAATTCTATTCCCTCCAGCTCGAAGGAGCATCATAAAATCAATAATTTCGTCATATAACTGAATGGCTGCCACATCATTATCATAATAATTTGCAAAGTTTGAACATTCCTTTTTTAATTTCTCTCTTTCGTGTTCATCTTCAATTGAGGGGCACCATTTTCTCTGGACAGAAAGGGTACACCATGTTAAAGGAATAAAGGGCTAACCACTGCCTCTGTAGTGTGGTGAGCCTCCAAAAATTGATTTATCACTGCTGAAATTTCAAAATCACTATCTTATTTCCCTCTCTAATTGGATGCCCCCCCCCCCCATTTGGATGCCCCATTGCCCCCCCCCCCCTCTGCATGCCACTGCAGTAAGTATTGTCTTCTCATATCAGTTTCTTGTTAACAATTAATGCATAAGATAAATTTCAGCATCCCACTGGTTGAAATATATGTTCATATATTTCTTTTATATTTATGGTGTTATAGCATCCTAAATATCTTTTGTGAAAGTGGCATGTTGTGTAAGCCAAGATGAGATTACCCAGTTAGGATTTATCAAGCCACAAATTCCAGGTTTGGGGCTCCATGGGGAGGTGAAAACCTTAACTCCAGACTTTTGTAGGATCAATGGCAGAGTGATCTATGGATTCATGCTAATAATGCTTAGCCCAGGCTGGGCATCAGTAGTGAGGATTCACATCCTTAATGCTGGCTGAGGTGTAATGTTCATTCACATGTCATTCATATAAATTTGTTATCCTGCAATCATCTGAGAACCACTGAATTTTAATGATTGTGAAATTGCGGCATCTTTTCTGCAAACACTCCATATTTATCATTTCACACAGGGCAATGCATGTAGAATAAAATGTGGCACATCCAATATCTAACTTGCCTTTGCTCTCTAAAATCTTCAAAAAAGTGTATATAAACAAATCTACTCCTACCTCCTATCCCATCTCATACTGAACCCCTGCCAGTTTGGGTTTAGTCTGAAAAAAGCACGAATGATTCAGTTATTCAGATGCTTGAATTACTGTATACAGCAATTGAAAAAATGAATATCTTCTGGGGCTCTTCATAGACCTACGGAAAGCTTGTTAGGTAAGACACATATGCAACAGTTAGGTATCTTTATTTTGAAACGTTTCGCCTACACAGTAGGCTTCTTCAGTCGAGTACAGAAAAGTTGATAGAAGCAGAAGATACTTGAAGACGATGTAATCAGTCCATCACCCTTAAAGTTTTGAGGTGGTCAGTCCCTCAGTCTGGAGAAGAGCATTGTTCCGTTGTCTGAAACAATATGAAGTTGAAGTGACAGAATCGGGCCTTATATAGTGCCAGGAGGTGAGACGTAGGTTGATTTGGGAGGGCAGGTCCTTCTCAAACCCAGCCGTTCTCACTAGTAGAGGTTGTCGAAGTAGATGGTCTGTACCAAGATACCCTTGTGTTGCAGTGTCTGACAGAATGAACATTAAAATGGTATAAAATACCGACAGATTGTTAGGTAAGACACATATGCAACAGTTAGGTATCTTTATTTTGAAACGTTTCGCCTACACAGTAGGCTTCTTCAGTCGAGTACAGAAAAGTTGATAGAAGCAGAAGATACTTGAAGACGATGTAATCAGTCCATCACCCTTAAAGTTTTGAGGTGGTCAGTCCCTCAGTCTGGAGAAGAGCATTGTTCCGTTGTCTGAAACAATATGAAGTTGAAGTGACAGAATCGGGCCTTATATAGTGCCAGGAGGTGAGACGTAGGTTGATTTGGGAGGGCAGGTCCTTCTCAAACCCAGCCGTTCTCACTAGTAGAGGTTGTCGAAGTAGATGGTCTGTACCAAGATACCCTTGTGTTGCAGTGTCTGACAGAATGAACATTAAAATGGTATAAAATTACCGACAGATTTCTGTACTCGACTGAAGAAGCCTACTGTGTAGGCGAAACGTTTCAAAATAAAGATACCTAACTGTTGCATATGTGTCTTACCTAACAATCTGTCGGTATTTTATACCATTTTAATGTTCATTCTGTCAGACACTGCAACACAAGGGTATCTTGGTACAGACCATCTACTTCGACAACCTCTACTAGTGAGAACGGCTGGGTTTGAGAAGGACCTGCCCTCCCAAATCAACCTACGTCTCACCTCCTGGCACTATATAAGGCCTGATTCTGTCACTTCAACTTCATATTGTTTCAGACAACGGAACAATGCTCTTCTCCAGACTGAGGGACTGACCACCTCAAAACTTTAAGGGTGATGGACTGATTACATCGTCTTCAAGTATCTTCTGCTTCTATCAACTTTTCTGTACTCGACTGAAGAAGCCTACTGTGTAGGCGAAACGTTTCAAAATAAAGATACCTAACTGTTGCATATGTGTCTTACCTAACAATCTGTCGGTATTTTATACCATTTTAATGTTCACCTACGGAAAGCATTTGATACAGTAGACCACAATATCTTGCACCTAAAACTAGAGCATTACGGGGTCAGAGGACACACTTTCAATTACCTAAAGTCTCATCGTAGTGGTAGACACCAGTATGTATACACAAATCGCGTGACCTCCAGTACTCAGCCTGTAGTTGTTGGAGTGCCACAGGGAAGTGTCCTAGGTCCTCTACTCTTTCTTATTTACATCAATGACATCCTAAATGCACTGCAACTCCTTAAACCAGTTCTCTTCGCAGATGACACCACTTACATCTTCTTCCACCCAAACTAAGAAAGTTTCCATAACAGTAGGTATCATTTTGACAGACAAGATACTTAGAAGGAGTTGCAGCCCAGCCACCGTGGAGAGAAGACGTCGTCGTTCCTGCTCTTCAGCTGAGCAACTCTGAACACTGTTGCTCGAGAATTTACTTGGGTTATCCTGAGTAGTTCTTCACCAGAGCTGAGAGGAGACTTGTTTGCAGTCACTTCGAGCCCCATCCCATCAAGAGGGTAAGGCGGTGACTTGCTTGCTTGTTCACCCCTCTCATCCCCATCCCCCCATCCTTCCCCATCCTCCCCTCACCCATACATCAACACTGGCCCACACACTTAACACACTACATACATTGCTATCCTTCTGACTGTCCTATCTTCTTCTTTTTCGGCAACTTCGCTTTGGCGAGTTAACACAAGGCATTTTGACCATCTGGTAGCCCGTGTGGTTTTTTAAAATCCAGCCGATCTTTGCCTTGGGCCCTTTCCCCTCACTACTCGAGGGTAGGCTATCTTAGGGGCTGACCTCATAAGTCAGCTGAAATAGGATGTTAGGCTAACATTAAGGAAAGATACCTTTTTGTTAAGCAACTCCTCTGCCAGATGCACCTTCCTAGGCATCATGGCGAGGATTCGTGTAAGATTACGCATTGATGGAAATCAAATGTCCATGAAAGACATTCTCAAATGTATTTGCTCCAACTCAACTGTTGCTCCAGTGGATGTTTTTCAAACCACTCTGGAGCAGTACTTCTCCTCTCTTCGGAAGAAGAGTTACTTCAACTACTAAAGCATGATGTCTTGGATAAACTGAAGACTTCTGGTGTTACACCAGTTGCACCTGACAGCTATCAAGCTCAGAGGACTGTGTTTGTGGCCAGAATCAACAGTTTTCTGAAACACAGCACTGTTTAATGAAATTGTTGATAACATTAATACCGAGAATTCTGACTTAGGGCTGTAGAAGCACATAAATTCTCGAATCCCAACAACAATAAGGTAACTTTAAAATTAATACTCGAGACACCTGAGGAGGCCAAACTTGTGTGTCAAAATGGCTTCAAATGTTTTAGCACCAGATGTACATCTGACCAAATTTCTATGGAATGCTTTGTCAGTGTGACACAATGTTTCAAGTGTTATGCCTTTGGTCATAACAACAACAAATGCAGTACACAAGGGCAAATTTGTAGCATTTGCTCTGGCCAACATTCGTATCGGGATTGTACCAATAAAAATACACCTAAATGTGTCCTCTGTAATGGAAAACATCATGCTGTTTCTGCTATCTGTCCTGAAAGAAAAAAGGAAAATGCAGAAAATTCTTGACGCCAAGAAAACTATCACTTCTAAGAAGACCACTCCCCAGGCACCGCCAACCATGTCCCAAGCTTCCTTCCCAGCTCTGCCTGGATCAAGTGGGACTCCTCAGGTCTCTACCAATGGTTCCAATGTTTGGAATCTGCCCCTCTTGGAGCGCCCCAATCTAACCCTCACTTACAACAGACAACAACAACAAGGTTCAGTCGCATCTCATATGTCTCAGGTATCCACAGACGGGGATATAACGAGAGCACAACTAATGTTATTGGTGGCCAAAGACACAGCAGGTGGTGACATTCAACTCTGCTCTCAGTTTTAAATGATCTGTTAATGGCTAATGGGATCACTCCCATCATTATCCCTGAAAATGTGAAGGCTATTATGACCCAGCCTTCTCATAACAAGAAGTATGTTCCATACTCTACATCTAAAAATAAGCCTAAGTCATCCTGGCCCAGGGATCGCCCTCCT